AAATGGAACTGTGCATACAAAGGGCCTGAAGTTAAGCTTGGTACAGTTGAGAACCCAACAGAAGGCTGGAGTGGAATCAAAGAGAGGGAGCAAGTGAAAAAGAATGAAATTAGAGCGGTAAGCAGAGGCCAGATCACAGAAAGAAATCAGATTTTATTCCACCATAATAAGCCATTATATTGCTTAAAGCAGGGGTTTCAAAGAGTGATCCCTGGACAAGCAGCCTCAGCATTACCTGGGAACTTGTTAGAAATGCCAGTGCTTGCGCCCCACCAGGACCCACCAAATCAGAACCTCTGGGAGCAGGACCTAGCAATCAGTGTTTTAACAAGCCTGCCAGGTGATTCTGATGCACGCTAACATTCGAGAACCATTGGCTTCAAGTAAGAAAGTGCTGTAACCTAATTTTTTAATCACTTTGCTGTGGTGAAAATACAATATTTGGTGACAAAAGTAGAAGCCACAAAACTAAGTAGAAAGGTAGACCAGAATTTCCTGGTGAGAGATGATGACATCAGTGGAGATGAACCGAAGATTTATCACATGGCATGAATAAATTATTTTAGCACTCATTTTCCCAACCTGAATGATCTCCATGAATAAATAAATGAAAGAATGAATGGATAAATTAAGGAATAGAATAAATGTTTAAAGATGAAGTGGCTGAGGTACCAGGAGGCTATCTCACATCTTGGCAAGAGGCCCCATCAGCTACCTCCTCCCAATCCTTCCATCTGTGACCTTTGAACAGCTGCTCCCTACATTCAAGTTTCTGTCTTGGAAGATGAAAAAAGCCTCAGAGAGTTTCTGTAGGCAGCGAGTATAAGAATTCAAGGAGCAGAACTATACAGTCCTGGAGCTCTGATAAATAAAGCAGATCTAAAGACAGAGTTTTAAAGGAGAGGAAAGGAAGATCCATGGTTGGAGCTTAATTAAATTAAAAAGCTTCTGGACAGCAAAGGAAGTAATCAACAGAGTAAACAGGCAACCTACAGAATGGGAGAAAATATTCACATACTACACATCCAACAAAGGACTAATATCCATAATCTACAAAGAACTCGAACAAATCAGCAAGAGAAAAAAAAAACAACCCATCAAATGGTAGGCAGAAGACATGAACAGAATTTTTTCAAAAGAAGATAGGCAAATGGCCAACAAACAAGAAAAAATGTTCAACATCACACATCATCAGGGAAATGCACATTAAAACCACAATGCAATAAACCACCTTACCCCTGTCAGAATGGCCATTATTAAAAAGAAAAAAAAAAAAAACAGATGCTGGTGTGGATGCAGGGAAAAAGGTATGCTTATACACTATTGATGGGACTGCAAATTGGTACAACGTCTACGAAAAACAATATGAATATTCCTCAAAGAGCTAAAAGTGGACCTACCATTCAACCCAGCAAGCCCACTACTGGATATATATCCAAAGGAAAAGAAATTATTTTATCAAAAAGACACCTGCGCTCAAATGTTTATCACAGCATAATTCACAATCTCAAAGATATGGATCAATCTAACTGCCCATCAATTCACATGTAGATAAAGAAAATGTGGTGTGTGTATATAGTGGTGTGTGTATATATCTATACACACACACACACCATGGAGTACTACACAGCCATAAATAGGAATGAAATAATATCTTTGGCAGCAACTTGCATGGAACTGGAGACCATTATCCTAAGTGAGGTATCTCAGGAATGGAAAACCAAACACCACATGCTCTCACTAATAAGTGGGAGCTAAACGATGGGTACACATGGACACAAAGAGATATAAAGAACATTGAAAACTAAGAAGGGGGAAGGAAGGGAGGGGGGTGAGGGATAAAACCTTACCTATCAAGTACACTCTCCTGGTGGTGGGCATACTGAAAGCCCTGACTTCAGCATCATACAGTGTATCCGTGTAACAAAAACATTTGTACCCCCTTAATATTTTGAAATGAAATATTAATAGTATGGGCTAGCTCATACTCTCTGTTACCTGTCTTAATTCATCACCTCAAGCCAAGGCACCTAAAAGCTGAGTTACTTCAAGACAAGCCTGAGGGGAGCCCAATTTCAGAGATTAGGGAAAGCATCTTCTTCCCATTGTCACCTCCCCAAACATGTATAAAATAATGCTTGTCAGCATTTATCTGCAATTCTCGATAAAGGAATTCTGAAATCCCTTTAACTGTAAGAAACACATTCCTTTTCACAGTTAGAGGTAAGTAGCCTTGAATTGTGTTTTCTTAAAAGAAACAACATGTAGGTGTGAATACTTAGTTCAAGTGTCAGTGATATTAGCTGCTCTCCTTTTCTGATTTTGGAAGAAGAAATTAAAAGCAGAATGGTGGAGTCCAAAAGACAAAAGAGCGAGTTGGACAAGGAAAAGGGAAGAAAGGAGAAGACAGAGTCAAGAAAGGCAAACATGGCAAAACTGCTACCAACGGGCCCTGCGTCTTCATCAGCATGAGCGCAAATAAAGGCAGCAAGCAAAGGTACTTCAAATCCTATAAGTCAGCCAACAATCAAGCAAAAAATATGCTAATAGGTCTATTTGAATCAAGTTGGACAAGACACCTCTTTTTCCTAGAGCTGAATTCTCTGTTTTCTTTATATTACACTATGTCTGCAATGAACAGAACTAGGAAAAGACCATTCAGGCAATGAACAAAGAATCACCACAGGCTATGTCTACACAGATAGAGAGGAAAGGAAAGTCAAAGCAGTTAATTCACAAAAGAGAACTCCACCCTACTAATGGAAAAGAGAATGTTCTCATTACAGCAATATAGTTTGGTTATCTATTTTGATCACATTATAAAAGTCCCACTCCAATTTGCTTTGAAGACAGAGTTTAGTTTACAAATGAGAATATTTCATCAGTTATTATTTGATTTCAAAAAAGAAAGAGCATTCATAATTCCAGAGAATGATTTGAGTTTGATAACTGGTATTGTCATAAAAATATTAATAATAATAACAATAATAAACATAAGAGCAAACAGGTATGTTGTGCTTACCACATACAAGGAACTGTTCTAAGTATATTGACTAATTTAATTCAAACATCATACTTTGAAAGTATCAAATTCAGTGAGAGTGATTAAGTTTTATTTTAGAACGTGTGAGGAAAGATTAATTTGACATTCTTTATCTCCATTAGGATAAACCGTTTAAAATCACTAATGGCCTCAAACTAAAAGCCATCTCATGAGTTTAAATACTATGTTTTTTCTACACTGCACTCTTGAGGATTAGTATGACAAAGTTTCAAAGCAATTCCCTTTGAAATGACAATTAACATAATCATCGAAAACTTAAAATATATGACATTGTACTAGGTAGTGGGATTATTTTTCCATTAAGTTTTCTTCCCTTCTGTTTTATGGGAAAAAAAAATCACACTAAACCCTAATAGCCAAAAATGTGGTCTTTATCCTTGTGGCAATGCCTATTGGCCATAAATGCTAACTGATTCCTGATAGCATCTCAAGAAGTACCAGGATTTGAATTTTGACTCCTCAAAAGTTCTTAAAATCTTACAAAGATAAATCACTGTAGCATATAACAAATACAAACAAGGTAAATTTAAAATATACATTGTCTCTAATGTCAATGAATTTAAAAAGCTAGATCGCATAAGAAAGTAAATTTAGTCTTCTGTATTTTCCAATTACTTTCTGCCATAGCCAATTAAAGGTGAACCTTATACTCATTTGGAGTTTTCTGTTTACAAAATACTTTCATTGAAATTATCTCATTTAATCATGACATCTAATCCTTGATTTCATTATTATTGCCATCACCACATTTTACAAAAGAGATAAAGTTACTTATTAACAATTCCATGTGCTGGTGAGGCCTTGAATTCCTATCTTTTCACCTTAAGTCTTCTTACTTTATACCATATCACAACTACTTCAAGAAATAGGAGATAATAAAGAAAAATATGTAGCACGTTACTCTAGCTAAACCAATACTTCTCATTGAAATGTGTTAAGTTTGTAGCGATTTTGATTAAAATTAACTTAAGGATTCCAAAATCCCAGTCGAAGCCTCTCAATTGGTGCCAATAAACCTTACCACATTTTGGTAAGGCGAAATTATGAGACCTAACATTGGAATGAGAGGGTTAAAACAAAGGAGGGGAAAAAAAGGAAAAGCAATACCAAAAAGGAATTTCATTTAAAAGAATTAAACACACTAAGCCAAAGGAAATTACTCCAAGGGACCCCTGAGCCCCTACCTCTCCCACTATGAGAACATAGCCACTATGAAATAAGGTTGACCTGGGTAGCAGAAAACCACATGTTCAACATCTGCGTTTGAGTAATTACCTTTAATTTGCCCAAATAATAGCCAAAATCCATTTTTACTTACCCAATAACTTGATGCTCATAATACTGCAATGTCCTCTTGAGAGTTTGCTGTATCGTCTGAGGCTACAGAATAATAATAATAAAAAAATACATTATCAGCAAATCAGTGCCATTCCCATTCTGAACATTGTAGGCAGAGAGGTAAGCTTCTGATTTATCTCATGAGGGTTTTCATTTTACAATATTAACCCATTTTGCATCATGCCATGTATTTTCCCCACAGGAACTAATATGAGGCACTCAGCAATTACCCAGAATTTCTCAATTTCAAGTATGATAGTATTTCCTAGCCAAATTTTTTTTTTCAATTCTTTTATACCAGCTATTAGGTTCAATAAAATACTCATTGCCTGCCGACAATAAACCTAGGCCTTGTGGGTGGTGGGGAGGATACACTGCAGAAACATGGGTCATGGTTCTTCCTTTCCAGCTGTATAATCTCAAGGAGGTAATGGCCAACAGAAATGAAATGACATATCTTAATATTTTCTTTGATGTTTTAACAAGGCTTTCAGGATGATCTAGCAAACAACAATAAATTTAGTTAAAATAGTCACCTGTATAATAAGAGATATTTTTAAACTTAGATGACCTTTCTTTCTTGCCTATCGGTTCTATATCTGAGGGCACTAACAGGAAGGCTGGAGTAGGATGGCAAGCAGGCAGTCCAGGGTCCCACAGCCATCACTTCCACCAGAAGTCAGCCTGATTTTCTCAACGTCTCAAGAGATTTCAAGCAAGGGTCCTTTCTGGAGCCTCCTAGATGGGCCGCAAGCGCCTTGGACAAAAAAAAAAAAAAAAAAAAATGTGGTCTGCAGCAAATACCTAAGCAGCTCATGACTGAATTTCATAACCCTCTCTTCCTTGTGATGGTTCAAGACAAAATTTCTTAATCTCAGATGAAGAAATTATTCTTAGACCTATTTAGGCAGCAGAGCCTGAACTTGGAGTTGTAGGCTTAGAGAGCCACGAATAGGACACCAAGATCCTAGAATATAAATTTTATTAGGAAGTTATAAGAAGAACCAAATTCTCAGTAGCAAGAGAGCGAATTTTTTACATAATAAAAACCTGTAGACAATCAAGCACTAAAAAAGTAGTTAAACACTTATCAAAATATTTATCCATTAAAGCCAAGGACGAATTTTAGAGGAATGTAATGACTGCAACACAAACCCTTGAAGATGTGGGGCAGCCCCGTAGCTTGGTAATCTCGCAAGCTGCTGCTGATTAACTGCACAAACCTAGTACCTCTAAAAAGGTAATCTGCAGAAAAAGTCTAGCATGGTGCTAGTACCTACAAAGCAGTTAATAAATATCAATTTCCAATCCCTAATTCTTCAAAGTGCCTGTCTCAAAAATATATCATGTAAAGGAGACCCCAGAGGTCTATACCAAATGTCATTTCGGCCTACTCCATATTTACCTCTTTACAAAAAACATCCAGGATAGATGTAACAATCTGCCTACCTAACACTCTTAAACCTTTAACATCCTCCTTGGCAGGCAATGATTATCTTAAAGCTACAGGAAATTGATCTTAAATTACATCAGGGGCATACACTGAGATTTGGCCTACACTACCATGTAAGAGAACCCTTTCTCAGCACAGGCCTCAGGCGTACACTTCATGCTAGCCCAAGCAATTCACAAATTAATTTTAGGAGGAATCAGCCTTCCAGTGTTCAAAGAGATACAAGGCAACTTCTTTCAGCATCTGTTTTTTCTTTACATCAGGTTAAAAAGAGGAATGAGACCTCAAAGTGGCACAGATGTTTCTGCTCATCCAGATAAAATCAAAGCAGAGTAAACGGAATGCACCTAGGAAAGAAAAATCATTCCTGAAGCAAGAAGCAGTGGAGTGTTTGAGAAATCTAAAGAGAATGAAGCAGACCCAGCAGTTCTAATACATATAAAAAGTGTGCTTTAACAACCCAACCCATGGCCAATCGAAACCAAATCATTATCAGTCACTGGTTCAGTACCCCTGGGATCTGGGCCTCTTGCACTAGCTTGGCAGTTTCTGAGCTAAGATAACTTTCCTTTTGGCAACAGCCTCACAAAGCAGTGACTATCCACAGAGGGATTATCCTTCCAATAACCTCTGGTCACAAAACATGGAACAGAAAGCAGGAACTGGAGTGCACAGGGCCAGTTAAGACCAGAATGACCTCATTTGTACAAAAGGACATTTTTTTCTTGTACCAAGAATTTCCCAGTCATTAAAAAGCCCATGTTTGTGAAAGGAGTTAAGCCTTTTAAAGAGCTGACTTTTTTCTTGTATGAAGCAATTATTTCCACTCTCAGAAGGAGTTAAATTTATAGTTTCCAAATACATTAAAAGAAAATGTTCTCTGGGCACATCCAACAAAACTTCAAGTTAGTAAAGCATTTAGACACTTCTGTTGTTTGCCAAAGCCAGTGGGTATGTTCTAATGGCCTAAACCACAAGTGTAGGGACTGCCTGTAGAGTATCTCCTGATCTTCAGCAAGCCAGGGCTGACTTCAACACAGAATGTCATGTGGCCATGGATTCACTCCAGTCTTTGGAGTTCACCCGATGGCCTCAACCCATGGCCTTATAAGTGAGAGACATCTTCACATAAGCTCCACCTAGCTGACCTGAATAAAAAGCATGAAGTGAAGACTCACAAATGGGCCAAAGCCTTCCACTGGGTGACTTCTGCATTGAGGGTGGTAGGGTCCATCTCTTTGACAAACCTTTACTGAGTGCCCATGTCTGCCAGTGATGCAAGTCAGTGTAGGTCAGTGGGAAAAAGATGAGGGCTTTGAAGACACACAGATTTTCTATCTTCTTCTGTAAGAATACAGGTCCCTACTGTCCCCTACTGAAGAGTACCATCCAACCTTCTACAGGCAAGATCCCATTCCTCTTTGTGTATCCATCCTTTCCTTTAAGAAGGAGATTAAAAAGATGATTTAGAAAAGAGGCTTTAAGGTCACACTGAGTTCAAAATCAAGCTCCATGACTCACTACCTAGATGACCTTGGGCAATTTACTTAAGCTCTCTAAGATTCCTTATGTGAACTTTATTTTTATGGGAATGAATTGAAATAATTAAAGCAAAATCTCTGGTTCACAGTAGGTGCATAATAAATGATGGTTATGGCTATGGCAAGCTGAAAAACATGGTTCCTAAGCTCAAGAATCTTATAATCTAGTGGAGGAGCACAGGTTTGGGTTAGAAAACCCATTCTACAAATGTAGTGTTTCAACATCCTCATCACCTAAAAAAAAAATCAGTAAAGCTACCAATACTTCTAATGAGAAATTGATTCCAATTCCAATAGACAGAGGAAAAATTAGGAAGATGGCAGCTAAATTTATAAATATTCCAATGAAACATTAAGATCAGTCCAGATCTGACTGATCTTAAATGGTGACAAAAGCAGATCTTTAATGGTAACAAAAGCAGAATTCTCAAAATTAAGACTGAGGATAGATCTGAAGCCAGGCCTGCCGATGGGAAGGATATTGAAGCACCATAGCTAAGGTCTAGACCCCAAGCATTATGTTTCACAACTACTAAGAAATAACGCATGAACCTCCTTCCTCGGACACAAAGAAAAGTACAACAGCAGAGCTGTGTGGCCTAATAATTTTATAGCTCTATATCCTTGAGGATCCAAGAGACAAGAGTGGGAAAGGAGACAGAATTCACTGTTCCTATCATAAAAAGAAAATTAAAGAGGTCTGTGATTTTTCTCTGCTTTCCCCAAATTAAAATATAGATAGTGGCCTCCTATTGTCCCAACTCGACACAAAGAAGCAATGGATAGGGAGACATCTGTGTCCTGCACACTTATTTTATGGGGCTCAAAGAGAGGGTTCCCTAAAGCTCCCATCATGTGGCAACGAGAAGCCATCTTCATCTCTATTCTCATTAACAGCTTCACTGCTCTTGGCTAGCAGTGACTGACCCCCACAGACTAACCGTTATGCTCACGAAAGGTCGTGGGATCCAAACAGCCAGCCATGAAACAGTCCCAACAGAGCCAGAGAAATGATCCCTGAAGAGTGGGAGGAAGCAGTTCTCAGCAGCTGGCCCTGCAGGCTCAGACAGTCCTGCTGAGGCTCCCACACAGTCCCTGCCCTGGATATCCGTGCCAGATGGTGCGGGGATCAGGCAGGAGGCAGAGAGTCAAGATGTGTGTGTGCAGCATGAAACGCAGTTGTCATCGTACAAAATGCATGTGCATCTCCATTTCACAGAGATAAAGAGGCTGAGGCTCAGGGAGATTAAGTAAGTACCACAAGATCACACAGCCAGTTAAGTGAGTAAATCACTGCAAGCCACTGGCTTCAAAATGTGTCCTCTTCCCACTAGATGCCGTTGAGGGTCCCTCCCACCTTTCGCATTTCAAATAAGGATGATTCTATATCCCTATTTAATACACACAGCACTTCATCATACCAAAAAAAAATAAAAATAAAACCACACACAGTTTAAAAACAAACTTCTCACTTCTGCTTAGTGCATGTACCCGCAAGATACAGATTTAATGGAAAATAAGTCAGCCTTTTGAAAAAAATCCATAAACGGTCTTATCATTTTATTTATTTAAATATGAGAAAATTATCTATCAAGTCAGAAATTAAATGATATAGATATAAATTTAATTATTAATGCTCGAGGTCAGTGGTTTTCAACTCTGCCCATCAAAATCACCTGGGGATCTTCTTAAAAATTACCAATGCCTGAGTTCTACCCCCAGATTTTCCAACTAACTGGCCTGGGGGCACCCAGTTACTTCTAATGTGTAGTCATGGTTGAAACGTTTTATTTAAGGTATAAACATGATGAATAAGACCAATCCATTATAAACCTTATCTGAACAAGTCAGTATTAATGATATTTGAATCTCTATATTCAAATATCAAGAGAAGTAAGCTACAGAGAGATGTTCACTCATAACTGCTTAATTCAAACATAGTCCCATTTATTAACTGTCACTAATGGCTTATAATTAAATATGAATTTGGTAGATAAACAAAAAAACTATATTGGTTGAAACATAAATAGAGGCTTTTTAAAAAATTT